GGGACCTGGGGGGGGGGCGGGGGGTGACCTCGAGTTTGGGGTCCTGCTCCCCCCTGTCCCCATTGGGGTGTCCCCAGTGTCCCCAAGGGGGTGTCCCCAGGGGGTGTCCCCAGTGTCCCCTCAGGTGTCCCCAGTGTCCCCAGGGGGGTGTCCCTGTCCCCAGTGTCCCCCCTGTCCCTAGGGGGTGTCCCCAATGTCCCCAGATGTCCCCAGATGTCCCCATGGGGTGTCCCCAGGTGTCCCCAGATGTCCCCAGATGTCCCCAGATGTCCCCAGGTGTCCCCAGATGTCCCCAGGTGTCCCCAGTGTCCCCAGATGTCCCCAGGGGGTGTCCCCAGCTGTCCCCAGATGTCCCCAGGTGTCCCCAGAGTCCCCAGTGTCCCCCCCGTGCCCCCCCAGATGATCATCGAGCCCACGAGCCCCAAGCTGCTGCCGGACCCGCTGCGGGAGCCGTACTACCAACCGCCCTACACGCTGGTGATGGAGCTCACCGGGGTCCTGCTGCACCCCGAGTGGTCGGTGCGTCACCCCGAAACAGCAACAGCACCCAGACAGCACCCAGCTGTCCCCAAAACACCCAGACAACACCCAGACAGCACCCAGACAGCACCCAGACAGCACCCAGCTGTCCCCAAAACACCCAGACAGCACCCAGACAGCACCCAGACAGCACCCAGCTGTCCCCAAAACACCCAGACAACACCCAGACAGCACCCAGACAGCACCCAGACAGCACCCAGCTGTCCCCAAAACACCCAGACAACACCCAGACAGCACCCAGACAGCACCCAGCTGTCCCCAAAACACCCAGACAACACCCAGCTGTCCCCAAAACACCCAGACAGCACCCAGCTGTCCGCAAAACACCCAGACAACACCCAGACAGCACCCAGACAGCACCCAGCTGTCCCCAAAACACCCAGACAGCACCCAGACAGCACCCAGACAACACCCAGACAACACCCAGCTGCCCCCCAAAAACCCCCAAAATCCCTGAAACGCCCCAAAAGTGCCCCTCGAAATCCCCCAGGGCTCTCCAAACTCCCCCAGATGTGGCTGGGCAGGGGGTGGGGGGGCTGGGGTGAGTTTGGGGTCAGTTTTGGGGTGAGTTTTGGTGGTTTGGGGTGAGTTTGGGGTCAGTTTTGGGGTCAGTTTGGGGGGTTTTGGGGGTTTGGGGTGAGTTTGGGGTGAGTTTTGGTGGTTTGGGGTGAGTTTTGGGGGTTTGGGGTGACTTTGGGGTGAGTTTTGGGGGTTTGGGGTGAGTTGGGGTCAGTTTTGGGTGGGTTTGGGGTGAGTTTTGGTGGTTTGGGGTCAGTTTTGGGGGTTTGGGGTGAGTTGGGGTCAGTTTGGGGTGGGTTTTGGGGGATTTGGGGTGAGTTTGGGGTGAGTTTGGGGTGAGTTTTGGGGGTTTGGGGTGAGTTT